ACACGGTAACCCTCGAGTCCGGCAACTTGTTCCATCACCGGGAGGGCGAGCATCTGTCCCAAGGAGGTGTCGGATTTATCGTCCACAAGTCTCTCGTCAACAACGTTGTAAAGATTGGAACGTGTCGCGTACCTGAAACTCAGAATCACCAAATAGTATTCGCTGAAGGTCATACAGGTCTACGCACCAACCTCGGCACATCCCGATGAGGAGGTGGAGGAAATGTATGAGGATATTTCTAGAGCCATGCATTCCTCCAAAACCCACTACACGGTGTTGATGGGAGACTTCAACGCAAAACTAGGCACAAGAGAAGGCGGTGAGCTGAAGTTAGGGAAATTCGGAGTAGGGCAACGGAACCGTAGGGGCCAGCAGCTGGCTGACTTTATAGAGAAAGAGGGACTCTTTATGATGAACTCTTTCTTCCAGAAGCGGCCTCACAGGAAGTGAACCTGGTCAAGCCACGACGGTTCGACAAAAAATGAGATTGACTTCATTATGACGACCAGACGCCAACTGATTAGTGATGTCTCAGTGATCGCAAGGGTGAACACCGGCAGCGATCACCGAATGGTTAGAGGCACACTGAACCTAAACGTTAAGTTGGAGAAGTCTCGTCTAATGAAGTCAACGCTCCGTCCCCTTCGTGCTCTGATCCAGAATCCCGAGACTTTTTAGCTCGAGTTACGTAACCGCTTTCAATGCCTACAAGATTGCAATGCAGTGGACGATATGAAAGACAAGCTCCTGGAAACTGTCCATGCGTTCGAAGCTAAGTTCTGCAAGACCCGCCGCGGAAGAACACAAAAACTCTCCGATCACACTCTTAATCTCATGGCTTTTAGACGGGAGATGAGGCTGCGTCAACAGATTTGACAGCATACAGGCAACTGAACAGACAGATCTCCAAATGCGTGCGGCGAGGCTAACGCAACTTTAATACTGCTCATATTAAAGAAGCGATCGAGCGGAACCAGGGCTCCAAAGTCTTTGCCAGAGATCTGTCTGCCAGAAAGAGCCAACTGTCAAAGCTGAAGAGTGAGTGTGGCAGCATCGTTTCCAGGACACCTGAGATTTTGAGTGAGATTGAGAGGTTCTATGAGCAGCTGTACACATCGTTGGAGCCACACGCAAGTGTGAGTAATGATCCAAGAGCAAGTCTTACCCGACACTATTCCGATGATATCCCGGACGTCAGTCTAAGTGAGATTAGAATGGCTCTCCAGCACCTTAAAAACGGCAGGGCCACAGGCGAGGATGGAATTATAGCGGAGCTTCTTAAAGCGGGTGGAACACCGGTACTTGAAGTCCTTCAGAAGCTCTTCAATTCACTACACGTGGCACTACTCCGGAGGCGTGGAGCAGAAGTGCGGTGGTCTTGTTCTTTAAGAAAGGCGACAACGCTCTCTTGAAGAACTACGGACCGATTTCCCTTCTGAGCCGCGTCTACGTGCTGTTTTCGAGAGTCATTACGAGTCGTCTCGCACGCAGGCTCGACGACTTCCAGCCTCTCGAACAAGCCGGTTTCCGAAAAGGCTTCAGTACCATAGACCACATACATACCCTGCGGCAGATTGTACAGAAGACCGAAGAGTACAATCTGCCACTTTGCCTAGCGTATGTGGATTATGAGAAAGCCTTTGATTCCGTCGAAATTTGGGCGGTGCTACAGTCCCTTCAGCTGTGCCAAGTTGACTATCGGTATATCGAAGTGCTGAAGTGTTTGTACAGTAGCGCTACGATGGCTATCCGAGTACAGAACCAGAGTTCGAAACCTATCCAACTGCAGAGAGGTGTAAGACAGGGTGACGTTATATCCCCGATACTCTTCACCGCTGCGTTGGAAGACGTTTTCAAGCTACTGGACTGGAAAGGATACGGTATTAACATCAATGGCAAGTACATCACTCACCTTCGATTTGCCGACGATATAGTCCTTATGGCAGAATCGCTGCAGGACCTTAGCACTATGCTCAATGACCTCAATGGTGTCTCCCAACGGATAGGCCTTAAGAGGAACATGGACAAAACAAAGATCATGTTTAATGTCCATGTCACACCTATGCTGGTAGTTGTTGGGAGCACTATGCTCGAAGTTGTTGACGAGTACGTTTACCTAGGACAAATAGTCCGACTAGGTAAGTCCAACTTCGACCGAGAGATCAATCGACGGATTGAACTCGGCTGGGCAGCGTTCGGGAAATTACGACACATCTTCTGGTCAGGTATACCTCAATCTCTGAAAACTAAAGTGTACAACCAGTGCGTGTTGCCAGTGATTACTTACGGATCAGAGACGTGGTCCTTCAGTGCTGGCCGTATGAGGACGCTCAAGGTTGCTCAGCGAGCTATGGAGAAGTCTCTGCTCGGAGTTTCTCGGCGTGATAGACTCAGAAATGAGGATATCCGCAGTAAAACCGGAGTGACCGGCATAGCCCAACGGATTAGTAAGCTGAAGTGGCAATGGACCGGCCATATAGCTCGAAGAACCGATAACCGATGGGGAAGAAAGGTTCTCGAGTGGCAGCCTCGTACCGGTAGGCGTAGTGTAGGGCGACCCCCACTAGATGGAGTGACGACCTGGTAAGACATGCAGGAAGTCGATGGATGCAGGTGGCTCAGGACCGTGCTTTGTGGCATTACTTGGGGGAGGCCTATGTTCAGCAGTGGACTTGTGAAGGGCTGTAATGATGTTGATGATGATGATGGAGACTGATAACCTACTTTTTGATTATTGAAAACATATTATGAGTTTACATAATATTGTTGTCATTATTGACTTTATATTGTTTAATATAAGTTTTATATTATTGTCTTTGTTACCGTGCAGTGGCGGTGTAAGTGTATCTACTAAAGTGTACTGCGGTTGCCAATCCCTTGCCAATCGTGGCAACTATGTTAAGTATGCCATCTATGAGGCAATCTATGGGTGAGGCCTATGTTCAACATTTGGCTTGAATAGACTGTTACGGTATTAACCAGTTAAGTCTATAGCTGAGTATTGGATTATTAAAATACACTAGTTGCCATAGTTATTTGATAGAGTAGAAATGATAATACGTATCAGACCCACACTGCCGCGTAGCATGAGCGCAACAATTGCTTGACTCTAACGGGGAAGGGTCAGGCTTGCGCAGAATACCAGCTTGAAATTGCAGCATAATACTGCTGTGTTTCGTATAGCTAAATAGAAAAAGCTGTGACCCTTTTTCACTGGTAATAAGAAATTTTATCTTCGCCCCTTGTGCTCAGTGATAAAGTTTTTGTTCTAAGTTAGTAAATCGAGAATACGTGAGTATTTACAAAAGAGCATCCACCGATGATCATGACTGGGAAACAACAGCTCAATACTAATATAATTCGTATGACGAGAGAATCCAAATTGTGCTTACAAAAAAATGAGTTCGTGTCCCGCTGGACACTGATCACATTTTAAGTACCTACCAATTTACAAAGTGCCTCACATGGGAATTAGGATTCTTATTAGGGAAAAAAAACAGGGACATGAAAAGTCTATCAACGTCCGCCAGTGCGTTTAGGGCAGCGTGAAAATATGAGTTCGATGGAACTGTAAAAGCCAATCGGCTAACAGCTCTGACACCACTGCTTCAAAAAGACAGTGTGAAAACCTTTTTCTTCTCACAAACGCTCTCAGGAATACATTTTCCAATAGTGATATATATATACAGTTTTATACTTTACTTTACTCGGGACTTACAAGGAAGAAAAAAATGAAAATAGAAGATGAAAGAGGAGCAGGATGAAAGAGAGGATAGGTTGCAACAAGCAAGTTATGAAATATAAAAACACATCAAATTAATTTTTCCCACAATTTTTTTTTTATTTTTAACATACTCGAAGGCGAGCGGACATAATGACACAGTTTTGATGCATTATGTTATTTTTTCGACACAAAGCAACACGGAATGAAGCCGTTTGGTTTGGCGGAACTTAGCGTGACTTCGACCAACTATGGTTGCAATAAGGACGCGATAATTATGTAATTTATAATAATTTTTCATAACAACGAAGTATATTATGTGAGGTTTGATGCTGTAATAGCCAATCTGCCCAACGATTCATGCTTGTGAACTGGCCCCACGGTACAGGTGTAAATCCCCGTGTGGAGGTAACGATTTTTTTAATAATAAGAAAACAATAAAAAAAACTTTAAAATACTAGCAGTGATTTTTTTCTTTTTTTTTCTCTTTTGGCAATCATCTACACTATTACATTTAGCATTACAATTCGTTTTATTCCAAATATTACGAATATTGGTTGCTGGAAGTAATTTTTAAGATTTATGTACTACTAGTTTATTAATTTCTTAATCTTAGCAGTAGAAAATCTTGTTTGTATTCAGGGAATAAAATATGGACTCCGAGGAGAGGTCGTTGTTCAGTCGAGTTCATCTGTCTAATATCACCGTAACTCCAATTCTAATTTACTCCACTAACTTGATAACAGTATAGCCATCTAGCAAGATAGCTCTAGCATTTTCAAACGATAGGTACGAGCGTAATCTGAGTAAAATTACCCCGCACTAATATTCCGAAACTCCAGGTGAGGCCCACTGCGTGGTGATTACGATCAGAACCAGAATTATTTGTTTCGAGGATTATAAGTCTTACATAGATTTCAGCTAATTAAATATTGAAGTTTGACAGTGACAGAGAATTATTGAAGTATGCCCAAGGGCATAAGATATACAGTATTTTTTGTGTATCAATTAAAAGAAATTATGACAAAACTCCAACGAACAGGTATGGGTTTTTACATTCTACTGAACAGATTCGATGGTTTTATAGTTAACCAAATTAAATAATTTTATAAACAATTTATGAGCATTTTTCGTCCTATAATGTGGTTTAAAACATAGACACGAAATTACAAACATTATGTACATTTTAGGCACATTCAACAAATTCCGTAGATGCGCCGTACATTTCCACGCAAATAAATTTATGCCAGGGTTAAAATTAAGCGCATAAATTACTAACCAGTATATTTGGCTTGTCCTCTAAGAGTAACGGTTTCGATAGTGGACACTTCGCTCCGACCCTTGGCATTGACCGCATACAGGTCGATCCTGTAACTCACGCCCGGCGGCAATCCACGTATTTCGAAATATGGCGGAGTACGGTTTGTAGAAACATTGTAGCGAACCTGTTGGGAATACATTTTTATTCCAAGCGTATGCTTCGATAATTAGAGGGAAGAAAGGAAAATAAGACCATTTGTTCTATACGTTTATACTTCTAGCATGTACAAATCATTTTCAGAACAATGTAATATTTACTCCACACTCGGTAAATGAAATTATGGTGTATGAAGGTTTTATTAAATGTTTTAATAAAAAGTACTTTTCAAGGCTTTTCTTCACTTAAGTTACGGAAGGTAAATTATTCTATTGTTTCACAAGTTTACGATTACTTTAAACTTAATTTAAGTTAAAATTAAAATTACATCAACATTTTATTTTATTTAATTCAAATTGGATTTTTACATTTATTTATAGATTAAGAAGTTGTATCAGTAATGATGTTTGATGGATATTAGACTATATTTTTGATTATTGATCAAATGCCTCTTTTTTATATTCGTTGTGGCAAACGGCTCTTTGACCATTGCACCAGCATGAAGTTAAATTATGCCGTTTTTAGGTGCTTAAAAATATCATTAATATTAAAAAAATTTAAAAATTAGAAATGGTTTGGAAATTACTTTAAATGTATTTTACTCTGACTATAACTTATCAACTCACCGAAGGTCACAGCCATTAAGGCAACCGGCAAAGTTCTCTACCTTCACGTACAAAAAACTGTTGCCACTGAACAATTCTGAAGTTGGAATGGACGACCTGTGTAAACGAAAATTTTATTTTACGCTTTATAGTTTTAAATAAAATGTACAGATATTAATGTTTCTTTGGTTTATATTTAACTTAATATTTCTTAAATTTACGCGAAACTACACATTGATAAAACTATTATTTACGGATTTTATAGCGTTTAATTACTTTAATTTATTTTTATTATTATCCCGACGTTTCGGGTGCTTTACAGCGCCCATGGTCACGGGGGGGACTGAGATGTCTGACGTCCCAATGTCATAGTTAAGCCCGGACTACCTTCAGCTTTTTTAATTATTAATTTTTGGTCCGATTTACGCAAAACGAGCTTATAGTATCATAAAGTCTTGCAGTGGTATGCTTGGGTTTGGGTTTAATTTTGTTGATTATAGGATCCCAAGCAGGTGGTAGTACCCAACCATCTTCTCTATTGAAATTTGGATGTTTTTTAATTTCAATAGCCTCGCGTATCATCCTTGGTAGGAATCGGTGTTCTTTCGCGAGGATTTGTGGTTTGTCAAATCTAATGTAATGGTGGGGACGATCTTGGACATGTTCGCAGACTGCAGACTTCCCGGAACGTCGATGCTTCACATCAGCAATATGTTCTTTCACGCGGGTTTTTATAGATCTCTTTGTTTGACCTATGTAAGAGAGACCACATTCACAATCTAGCTTGTACACACCTGCATCTTGTAGAGGAATATTACATTTGATGGATGGTAAAAATTGACTAATCTTCTTCGGCGGCTTGTAGTATGTCTTAATGGACGCTCGCTTCAAGATATAGCCAATCTTGTCCGTGGCTCCTCTAACATATGGTAGTAGAGCAGGCGCGCGCTCGACTGTTGCCGGCTTCACTCGTTCACTGTGACGTAGGCGCGGGACCCGAAGCTTGTTGTCTTGCAATACTTGCTTGACGTGCTGAAGCTCCGCGGCCAGGTGTTTTCTGTCACAGATCCTTCGTGCTCTCTGAAACAAAGATTTACCCACGGTAGCTAACTGTGAAGGATGATGGTGAGATTCACCATTTAAATATCGGTTGGTATCGGTCATTTTCCTATACACAGTGTGACCAATAGTGTTATCAGGATTTCGGATGACTAAAACATCTAGGAAAGCTAAAGAATTATTTGCCTCTAACTCCATAGTGAATTGTATTTTAGAGTTTATGGAGTTAAGGTGGTCTAAAAATGCAGTTACTTTGTCAGATGGTAAAATTGTGAAAGTGTCGTCTACGTACCGCTTATAGAACCTTGGATTTACAGGAGCAGTAAGAAGGGCTTCCTCCTCAAAGTCCTCCATGAATATGTCGGCGACTATGGGAGACACAGGTGAGCCCATCGCCACACCATCTACTTGCTTGTAGAACTCCTCCTTCCACAATAGATTATATAGATGGCTATCTATTGTGGGTATACAATTTTACCATCTGACAAAGTAACTGCATTTTTAGACCACCTTAACTCCATAAACTCTAAAATACAATTCACAATGGAGTTAGAGGCAAATAATTCTTTGGATTTCCTAGGTATTTTAGTCATCTGAAATCGTGATAACACTCTTGGTCACACTGTGTATAGGAAAAGACCCATACCAACCGATATTTAAACGGTGAATCTCACCACCATCCTTCACAGTTAGCTACCGTGGGTAAATCTTTGTTTCAGAGAGCACGAGGGATCTGTGACAGAAAACATCTGGCCGCCGAGCTTCAGCACGTCAAGCAAGTATTGCACGACAACAAGCTTCGGGTCCCGCGCCTACGTCACAGTGAACGAGTGAAGCCGGCAACAGTCGAGCGCGCACCTGCTCTACTACCATATGTCGGAGGAGTCACGGACAAGATTGGCTACATCTTGAAGCGAGCGTCCATTGGAAGACATACTACAAGCCGCTGAAGAAGATTAGTCAATTTTTACCATCCATCAAATGTCATATTCCTCTACAAGATGCAGGAGTGTACAAGCTAGATTGTGAATGTGGTCTCTCTTACATAGGACAAACAAAGAGATCAATAAAAACCCGCGTAAAGGAACATATAGCTGATGTGAAGCACCAACGCTCCGGGAAGTCTGCAGTTTGCGAACATGTCCAAGATCGTCCCCAACCATTACATTAGATTTGATAAACCACAAATCCTCGCAAAAGAACACCGATTCCTACCAAGTATGATACGCGAGGCTATTGAAATTAAAAAACATCCAAATTTCAATAGAGAAGATGGTTGGGTGCTACCATCTGCTTGGGATCCTATAATCAACAAAATTAAACCCAAACCCAAGCATACCACTGCAAGACCTCATGATACTATAAGCTCGTTTTGCATAAATCGGACCAAAAATCAATAATTAAAAAAGCTGAAGGTACGCCGGATTAACTATGACATCGGGACGTCAGTCATCTCAGTCCTCCCCGTGACCATGGGCGCTGTAAAGCGCCCGAAACGTCGGGATAATAATAAAAATAAATTAAAGTAATTAAACGCGATAAAATCCGTAAATAGTAGTTTTATTCAATATATTAATTAACTTAACATAATTATATAAACATACACGATTGTCATCTTGAGGGGTAGGCAGAGATTACAAACTACCATTTCGCACAATTCTGACAATACTTCTCGTGTATTCAGATAAAGAGTACTCTTAATATGGCCCATTTTCATATGTCGTCGGATAAACTTCCATCTAGGGCGTTCCCTGCCGACACTGCCATTCACTTTTATATTTAAAACTTATAAAATGGAAACACATAGTTTTTGAATGAAATGAATTTCAAAACGTCAGATTGATGTTTCTTTACGGGGATTTTTATTGTTCTTTTTTTAAAATAAGTAATACCCACGTTACCTTCTGATTGACAGACAGGGTATCTGTCAACTGAGTAATGGTGAAAATCAATACAAATTGACAGTCTGGTCATGAAGAGCTGTACTACCAGTGCGAGAATATCGACTCTGTGATTTTGTCTACCAACGTGGTAAGTACGACCATGCTATATCTCGGCCGCCAGTATCAAAACCCAGTAAGAAGAATTAGCTTCTTTTTACAAGATTTCGTGGTAGAACTATGCTGCAACAATATTATAGTTACGGGAATCATGTTTTTTCAAGTGCAACTTGTGTAAGTAAAGTTACTCGACGATACCATAGAAAATCCTAGTGTTGGGGTAACGTATTTTAAGAGGAAAGAGGAAGATATAAAAACCTTTTGAAATTCACGTTTTTGTTTCAAAATTTCATACTCACCCGCGACTACTAACTGGAAAAGACATGGCACCTTTTGCTTGCCAATCGCATTTTCTCCGAAACATGCCAAGGTCCCATACTCCATATCCGTTGTGGGGGTATAGTTTAGAGTTGACGTATTACCATGACTGCTGTACAATCTATATGAAAATACATTAAAATTAATTTTACAAGTAAAAAGATTTGATTAAAATAACAGAACAAGTTTGTTCTAAATACTTTATTTTAACGATTATATAAATATTTAAAGGTAAATGTTGCTATTAAAATTGATACTGTAATAACCTATTTAATTTACTCTTGTTCGATTTTGTTAAATTATTTTCATTATATTTTGATTTCGGATGAAATGATTATCCAGTTTTGACCGACTACATAATTTTTTTAATTGTAGTGTAAAACGAACTGATAGTTTTTTGATGTTGGAAAGTGGCTACCCGGACGAACTTCTAGATAGAGCTCTACTATCTCGTAAAAAGATATATAAAAAAGAGCGAAATGTACCTCAAAAAATTAGGGATAAAGAATTTTTTTGAAAGAAAAATAGATGTCGCCCAGACTGGCGACAAGGAGAAGCTTTAGGAGACATCTGACGCCGCGATCGACAATCACAAGGCTTACATTTTGATTGTCTATCCCCTATATTCTCACAGAATACCAGCGTAAAATAGCAGCTTAATACTGCTGTGTTTCGTATAGTGAGTGTAGAGATCCGGAGAACTTTTTTTACTGGAAGCGAGGCATTTCATCTTAGTCCTCAGGGGTGACAACGCATCTGCGTTTTGATCCTTAATCGAGGATAAATGTGGATATCTATGGGCGACAGCATCCACTTACCATCAGGTGAAGTGTGTGCTCTTTTGTCACCCTAATTCTATAAAAAATATATCCTTACCCTTGGGTAATTATTGAGACTAATCCTCCCTACTTTGGAAGAGGCCTAGGAGTGAAATTTCTTTATTACTTTACTATTCGAATAGGAAGAAGTAGAAGGATTTATGAGCTTATATTTTTTAAATTATATTTAATATAAAAGTATGACTTGTACAGAAACGTCGTATGATGGGTGTAAATATTAAATTACTTTGTAATCTGATGCCTTGGTAGTGTTTGACTGCGATGTTGTCGGCTACGAGCCTAATTCGTTCATACAGAATAAATATATCATTGTAATTTATCGTCATCATGATAGCTCACTACAAATCTACTACTGTACAGAGGCCTCCCTTAAGGAATGCCACAATGCTCATAAGCTACCTGCACCTATCGACTTCCAGCAGCTAATCAGGTAGTTACTATCTGATGGAGCCGCCCTACACTTTGTTTACCAGTACGGGTCTGGCATTAGAGAACGCTTCTTCCTCACCGACTCTCCTGTCAGAATCACCGACTCTGTAATACTGTAGCTATGTTATTGTTACTCCTTCTAAATAGTTATTTTTTATCGATAATTGTATTACAATAATAAATTGTAAACGTTGAATTAATGATTGTAAAATATCTACGTTCAGGGCAATATTCCTAAAATAAAATATGAAAGTGTACATGGAAATTCGCAGAAAATTAAAGGTAACTTGAAATCTCTATAATATACATACCTCGGCGGTAGTTCAGTCTGTTCGCCAGAGTTATTGAAAGTCCAATGAAAAGAAACTAATGCGGGATTGGCGTCTACCGCACAGTGGAGCGATACCGTCTCGTGCTTCAGAGCTCCGTACAGCTCATTGTCCTTCATCTCGGCGCAGACCGGAGCATCTGTACAGGAAATGAATTCACGTCAGATAAGAAATTGCATTTTTGTAATGATATAGAATTTCTCATTTATATAGTATTCAAAGTAATAAAGATATTGTATGAATTAAGATTGCTCATATTGCTAAGATGTTAATATCGATTTTTATGTAATATCATAAATGATTTTTTTTTCTAGTGTAACAAACTTAACATTTAATCAACTGTTTTTTTTTCACTTGTGAAATGAAGAATAATGATGATTTGACGCACATATTTTGTACCAACTGGGCTGCAGAAAATTTGAAAAATAGCTGTTTACAATCTAGTGATGACGCGCAATGCACGTACGGCTGAGCTAGATAACGGAGAGAGACATCTACAGTATGAATTGATAATATACCGATGAAAATTCGACGAAATCATCATCGCGAATTCATTTGTTTCCCATTTCAAAACTTTCTTTTTTGCGGAACATTAGAAGTACGATTGTGGCTATCTGCATACTATAATCTCAAATTATATGTTTGCAGAATCACGCAGTCGAGTCAAACCTTAGTAGTATTTAAATGTGTTCTATTCAGATTTGTTTTGAAAAATGATATTAGTAAAAAATAAGAAAATAAGAAGAAAAAACATTCTGCATTATTGCGTCAACAGTAGTATCGCATACAAAGATCAAGTTCTAAAGTTTCTCCGTTAAAAAAGTGTGATTAATTTTAACTGGAAAGAATAGTCTTATTTGTAAAAAAATACTATTTAAATTTTCAAACATTCTGCATCACAAAATTATTAATTTCATGAATTATTTCCGAAGATCGTTCCAATACATCAATTTCATTATACGTAGATTTGTAAATTTCTTTTCTTACATACTCCCAGAAAAAACAATTTATAGCGTAAGATCCAGTGACATTGCCGGCCTCGGAGCAGGACAGGAAGTGTTGCTGTCTATCTCTTTTTAAATAAAACTATGTATTGACTTATAATATCTTTATGTTATACTGCGAAGATCAGACCAAAAATTATAATTTTAATCTAAAAGTAGCGTAATTAAGTATGACATTAGGACGTCGAACAATTCAGTGAGGGTGCACGGAGGTTTCATGACCATGGGTGCTGTAAAGCGCCAGAAACATCGGCAATTTCAAAAAGTTAAAGTAAATCGCAATAAAATCCGTAAAATAAGTTTCATTTAACGCGGAAATACAAGAAATGACATTTTTTTTATTATTTTGACTATTTTTGAGCTAATAATTAAAAATAATAATGATGTTTAAATATAAGTTTAATCAAGTTAGGTTTCGGCAAATTTCAAAACAAAGTGGTAACATTTCGACAACCAAAAGTAACAAATGTCACCGAACAATATAAAACAATTTTATACAGCACTAACTAAACCAGAAACTATTCAAAACAACAACTTCAACTCCAATAAAGCCATTCTATGCTAACAGTACGACGTTTAACAAGGGATCGTTATACAACTAGATTGTAACTTTACTAAGGTCGTAACGATTGAAGACAGGCCAAAGCTTTATAAAATAACAGAATAAACTATCAAGACAACAGATATTGATGACTTTGTTGCAAATTTAAGAGCTTTATCGGCTAAGTTCCTGCCCTAAGATAATTACTGTGTGCAGGCAGTTTAATGAGAAAATTAATGCCGGTAGAGACATCTGGGTAACCGACGTTGTAAGCTCTTTAACCGCTGAACAGGTAAATTGCACTTCCTGTGTTTAAGTAACCCTCGCGATGCTGTTACACAAGACAAACGCTTCCTTTATAAAATGTAAATATGATTTCCGCTTGATTTTGATATAGTGTTAATTTTTTTTAAATTAATAATGAATCTTAAATATTATATATAAATAATTAGGGAGTCAAAATTAACATTGACATTGTTAACTCAGCAGATTTTTTTAAAGAATAAGGGTGACAAACGAGCACACAGTTTACCAAATGGTCAGTGGATGCTGTTGCCCATTGACGTTTACATTAATCCTCTATAAGAATTAAAATGCAGATGGGTTACCACCCCTGAAGTATGTGATAGAATGCCTTGTTTCCAGTAAAAAGATTTTTCAGTTCTCTTCGCTCAATATATGAAACACGTTTACCACGTCTCATACGCAATATACACAGACCGGTAACGGGGAGCAGTCAAAGGTGCCAAACATCTCATACAGCCAAACGTGGCGATTTTAGCTTTCCTTCATGCAACGGGAGATAATGATGTCTAGCAATGGATGCAGAGGTTTGATAAATAAAAACAAAACGATTTGCCCCGTCCTTCACGGTGAAGAAAAGAGTTGTTAAAAATTGTATCTCAGCAATTTTAAAAACATTTAGAAGATACCGAAGTCAAGAATACGTATTTATGCAACGAGGCCTACTATTTTTTTTTTTTGCTTCAGAAAAAAGAGGTTTGCGAGTTTTTGATAAATATATATAAAGTTATTATTTGTGCTTTTTGTTCATGTTTACACTTCGATGTACAATGAAAGTTACCTATCTATGTATTTTTCTATTGTAAAAATTCTATCAAAAAGAAAATCAAACCAACCCGATCTGGTGAAGTTTATATAATACTACTTTACTCCTTGACTACAAGTCTCGATAAAGTTGACCTCAAAACTTGATATTATATACTTTTTAAATTACAATCAAACAATTAGTCTACTCGTTTTTATGCAGGTTTAAATAAAAAAATAATGATGTCTGCTAAAAGTAAGCTTCAAAAATATCCAATTTTCTGTACCCTAAAATTGCTAAAGCATAGGTAAAAAATAATTAAAAAAGTTATCTCTGTCAGTTAAACGTGTCAGTCACAGTACAAAATTATCCATACTTGAAACAACTGGTTTTGACTGGCGCTTAGTAGCTAAGTAAGAGTAAATTATTTCTAAATGTTTATGATACCGACGATGCTCTCCTGCAGGGTAGGCTAAGTTAACTTTCTATAATCCGTAGTATTTAGTACATAGTAACATACTAAACGGCATGTCACTGTTCTATTAGATAAGTTGATTTCATCCGTTTTATAGTTTTCCATATCGTTTCGTAGGTGACGCAAGAGGCAACAGTGGGAAACTGTGACTGGTGATGGGCAAGAATAACTTCCTGACTACTACTCAAATATTACAAAACTGCGGTTTCCAAACTGCAACCAAGCGTGGCAACAATGGAAAAATTGCTCCTAAAGGGCAATCTATTGGGAAGGCCTATGTTCAGTAGTGAACTTCTATAGGATGTTACGGATGGATGGATAGATATTTTTCTATTAGCGTTAAAGTGTGTAAATTATAAAAAGTCTATTTGGTCGTCCCTGCTGGTTTGCTTCTGGAAGTTAAGTACTTCGTAAACTACCTTCTTAGGTTTCTCTCTGACAATGTTAAAACAACATTGAATACTAAACAAGTTTTTAAAGTAAATTTTACTTAAATAATGACATATAAATTTAGTAGGTTAATAAAGCAATTTATGTTTCCATTGCTTAAATTGTAATCCTTGTCTATCTACAAATTGGACAGTTTAATCGCTTAAGTTATTTCAGTAATAAATGCTTTTATTTATTCCGGAGTGTCTCGACTGTCCGCTCTAAAATTTTATTACACTACGTATTGCAACGTCGTGCGCTGCAATAAGCTCACAGTATAACACTCAGTTAGCGCGGTGGCACTGTATCCGCGGAATCTCCAGTAATGCTCCTCCTACACTAAACGCTACTTTGTGGAAGTGTAATAGTACTTCCGTTGCATCCGCCTAGTATTTCTCGTTATTACCTTCGAAATTTGAATTTAGAGTTTAATAGAATGAAAACGTTTCAAGGAAAAAACTGTAATACGATCCTCTTAACATAAATATCATGTTTCATTTTATCGAAATTTTGTTATAAAAATAAGCAGCAGAAGGAAAGTTAATTTATAATACGCTATAAACTCTGTCATAAAGTTGTTAATTTCATATACTTGTACTAGAATTGATCGTTAATTAGGTTAGGTTAATCATGCCGTTAATTAAATGGAAATTATATCGTGCTTCCAATACCATTTTATACTATGTTTTATTTATATTTCAATACAGTATTTTTAAATATTTTAATGTCCATTATAAATTATTATTTTTTATAATTTTTAAATTGAATTAAACTATTTATATGGATTTAATCGCGTTTAATTAACTTATTTTCCTTCTCGACGTTTCGGGTGCTTTGGACTGAAATATTTGACATCCCAATGTTATAGTTAGCTCGGATACCTTCAGTTCTTGAATATTAAAATATTTTTGTAAATTTTTGGTCTGATCTACGCAAATAAGCTATAAATATATAAGTTTTATATTTTTGCATCTTACCCTTATTACAATTATCAAAAAAATCAGAAACACTTAGTTATTTTATTACACATACTTATTTTATTTTATTTCAACACTAACCAAACGTTTTTTGTTAAATTCTGTGAGTTTTCTGAGTAAGAGTGATTTTTTTGCAACATAGGGCTTTATTTCAAAACCTAGTCAAATTTTATTAATAATAATTTAATTACTTATATATATATATATATATATATGAGCTTAATTAAATGTGTAGTGTTCTCGTAAATAGAAGAAATCATTATAATTTTTAAAGTTTGTATCCGTAATATTCTGTCAAAACAATTATTGATAACACTTAATGGTTAGAAGACAAAAGAATACTTACATCGAATTTGTAATGAGACTGGATTGCTTGTTCCTTTCCCTTCACTGTTAGCAGCCATGCAGGTGTAATCACCAGCCGCCAACCGCGTGACCTTCTGCAGTACGAGACTCTGAGCACTCAGTACAACGCCAGATGCCTCGTTGTGAAAAATCTCCGTATTCTGAGAGGATTTACAATTTTGTTAGTAATCTGTATATAGATTACTAAATTTAAGTAACTATTGCTTTTTATAGAATAAGGGTGGCAAACGAGCACACAATCCACCTGATGGTAAGTGGATACTGTGGCTCATAGACGTCTACATTAATCCTCAATGTTGAATCTAAATGCAGATCTGATGTCACCTCTGAGGACTAAGATGGATGTAACAGCGTGTCCAGCAGCATAAAGCTAGGCAGAGAAGTTAAACGATAGTGTTGAAATTGCTATTAATTAAAATATTCCTAAAATAAATTAAATTCAAACAAAAGATAAAACGGAAGATACAACGATATTTCTATAATTTTGTTTAACTCAAGTCAAGAATATTATTAATAAAGTTTCTTGCAATACATACTTCAGAATATATCTAATAGTTGGAAGAAGCCCTGACACTTAAGTTAGTCTTAAATTAAATTACAGCTGCCATTCTCCGAATGTATCTACGAGATTCGTTTTATAGAGTGGTCATGTGTCGTTCGCATATATTGTGCTATTATTTCTCAGTTTGCCTTTCAATTTTCAAATGAATAATCATCTCACCGTAACTATTACAGGTCATCAAATTGCTACGGCTGAAGATACCCACCCCCATAGATTTTGTCTTTTTTCTATGCCATAGTTGCCACGCTTGGCATGCGGATCGCAAGTTTTTTGTTTTGTTTTAAGTTTGCAGTTTTTTCGGTATTAGGATTTGGTTTGATTGGTATTAGGTTTTGGTTTGATTGGTATTAGGTTTTGGTTTGATTGGTATTAGGATTTGGTTTGATTGGTATTAGGTTTTGGTTTGATTGGTATTAGGTTTTGGTTTGATTGGTATTAGGAAGACGCTACTGCCCATCTCCTGGTTTGTCCACTGTCTTCTCTTACAGCACCCATGGGACGATAAGGAGCAATGGGTAAATTCTTACTCTGCCATTAACATGGTCAAATATAATCTTCATACATACTGTATATTGAAATTAAATTTTTAACTTAATTTATATTAAAAATTTTAAAAATTGTTTTTAAATTAAATTATCCTGAATTATATTCTCGGATAAACAATCTTAGAGAACACAAAAGTAGATTTTTGTGGCACGCTACATTATGCACAGAGCATTAAAAAATTAAAGAAAAATCATAGATTTTGAATTACAGTCATTCCTTCAACACTATTTTAATATACAACATCTATAAAGTCATTTTTTAAAAACAACTCACGTCATGAAACCAAACTAATCGATGAGTCTTCGGATTCGCCTTCACTGTACATTCGAAGTAAACATCGTCCCCTTCCTTTATCTCGTTAGGGTTCAAATTGGATCCCATCTTGAGATCAACGATAGGAACATCTGTAACAAAATCATTTGATTAAAATGTTTTATCCTTTCAGAGGATAATGGATTGTTCATTTTATATAACTTTATAAACAGGAAAGAGGTCTGATGTTTTTTTTTTATTTACCATATATGGCGTTTTAAATCCAATAAGATTTAAAGTGTGTAGCTATTCAAATTACGGCAGTAATTTAAAATTGAAAATATATCTACACATCTTTTATCTAATATTTTTAACTTTTAATATTATACCGACTCAATATTATAAAAAAGTAGGTAAATTGACAGTGGACGGATATCTCATACCCTCAAAATAATAGTTTTAATTGTCTATGACTAAAAAATTCTTCACAAAATTTTCCTGTATCACTAAGCTTGCGGAAAATCATATTTCATTTATTGATGATGGTGGAGATCGACCTAGTTTTACTTGGTTAATATAAAATTAATAAGCGAATGTTTGTTCCTTGAGCCAATTCGGTTAATTAAATCTTATACTTTATTCGCATTTAATAAAATAATTAAAAATAGAGAGATTGTTTCCATATATTTCGTATTATACAGTAAAATATTTGTGACAAAAGTTTTCAGCAGAAAAATAATGCGGCAATGTTGTTGTAGCTTTCGCTGAGTCGGAGAATGTTTTTATTTTTATTTTTATAAAAATTAAAATACAAACTAACTCCACCCGATGGTAAGTGGCTACTGCAGAAAATGGGCATAGGGACGAAGATGTGCTTCCTCAAAGCCTGTAATTAGCTCTATAACCTTGAGACCGGAACTCAACAGTACACTCGCTGCTATTGACGGCAAAAATAATTCAGAGGGTGGTAACTACCCAGATGGGCTCCGAGACAAAAACGAAACCTACCAATTTGTCACCGTTTCATTGCAAATATTAATATTAAAATTTTTAATATTCTGTTTCTTGTACTGAACGATATTGTTGTTAAGTATAAACGTTAGTTTTTTCCTTATCAGTGACTATTATTACAAAATTATTAGATAACCCTATTTAAAATATATAAACACCAACCTTCTTTAATTAATTTTTTTTACTTAACGTTAAACTTACTGGTAACGACACATTCCAACTTAGGCGTCTGGGGTGACAGCGCATCTAAATTTGATTATTAATCATTCAATATCTAGTCACAGTACACCCTTACCATCACGTGAATTGTGCATGTTTATCACTTTTACTATTAATAATATTACTAACTTTATGATATTCTAATAATAAGTAATTATAAAGTAAGTACATTATGCTCAAGAAATAATAGAGAATTTTAAAATTTTCCCGCAGATTAAACTATAATAAGCAAATTTTATTTTCATTCATTATCCCACGAGGGCATTCAATTGAAATTTATGAAGTGATATAAAGTTAAGAAGGAACAAATTGCAGATAGTAATATCACAGAGTTGGAGGATTTTGCCGAGAAAACTACGACAATTTTAACCTCGTTCTTTATACTTAAACGTGTTGTCTCAGATATTCGTTTAAATCTTTCATAGACGTATTCAACAATGATTCAATTTTGAAGTTGCCAAAATTTGTTTACGGGCACTTGGATGCTAACAGACAATTATGTATTTATAAGGAGAGTCACAGATGTAATTTTGACAAAAAAATTAAGAAAGCAATTTTTACCGTATAATTTTTCAACTAAAACTCTATGTAAAACCCCTTGCAATATTTTGTACACGAACGCTCGCTTACTGCTTTTCTTCTTTTTCAACCCCATTCCTATAATGACTAATACTGAGCACTGCGGTTATAAATAAGATTATCGCGTTTAATCAACTAATTTAACTTATTTTTTTTTAATTCCCGGCGTTTCGAGTGCTTTACAGCACCTATGGTCACGGGAGGGACTGAGATGTTTGACGTCCCAATATCATAGTTAGTCCGGCTACCTTCAATTTTTGAATATTAATTTTTGGTCCGATTTACGCAAAACGAGCTTACAGTGTCATGAAGTCTTGCAGTGGTATGTTTGGATTTGGGTTTAATTTAGTTAATTATAGGATCTCGAGCAGATGACAGCACCCATCCATCTTCTCTACTGAAATTAGGATGTTTTTTAATTTCAATAACCTCGCGTATCATCCTTGGTAGGGCTATACCTTTTCTTTACAATGTGTATAAACATAAAATTGATAGTAACAAAATTGTAAATGAAAGTTTCTCAGTACGTTGAACACCACCTTGCTCTGAAACGCTCTTCGTAATAATAGTTAGCTGTGCCCAGCATTGGGACACAAGACACAAAATTGGTAAAGAAATGAGATGAGATGAGATTTTTATTATATTCTATTATATCTTATTCAATGTGAAATGTTCGCGTAGATATCATCATTATCATCATCATCATTACAGCATTTCCCAAGTCCGCTGTTGAGCATAGGCCTCCCCGAAGGTATGCCAAAAAGCACGGTCCTGAGCCATCTGCATACATCGACTTCCTGTATGTCTTAACAAGTTGTAACTCCATCTATTGGGGGGTCGCCCTACACTTTGCCTGCCGGTACGAGGCCGTTACTCGAAAACGTTTTTTCCCCATCGGTGGTCGTTTTTTCGAGCTATATGTATATGCCACATCAGCTTACTAATCCTTTGGGCTATGTCGGTTACTCTGATTCTACTGCGAATATCCTCATTTATAAGCTTATCACACAGTGAAACCCCGAGCACAACCCTCTCCATAGTTCGCTGAACGACCTCAGTTCCATAAGTCATAACTGGCAACACGCACTGGTTGTACAGGCTCGTTTACAGCTTTTGAGGAATAGCTGAGAGATTTCCCAAACGCTACCCAACCGAGTCAAATCCATCGATTGACCTCTCGGTAGAAGTTAGACTTACGTAGTCACACTATTTGTCCCAGATAAACATACTCGTTAACATTTTCGAGCTAAGTGCTCCCAACAACTACCGGCATAGGTGTGACATGGACGTTACACATGATCTTTGTTTTGTCCATGTTCATCTTAAGACCTATCCAAAGGGAAGCACTATTAAGGTAATTGAGTATAGTGCTTACTTAGATTCTCAAGCGATTCTGCTATAGGAATATATCGTCGGCAAATCGTTGGTGAGTGGTGTACTCGCCATTGATGTTAATATAGTATCCTTACCAGTCCAGTAGCTTGAAAACATCTTTCAGTACAGCGATGAAGAGTTTCGGGGATATAATGTCACCCTGTCTTACTTACACCTCTCTGCAGTTGGATAGGTTTCATACTCTGATTCTGTATTCCGATAGCCATCGTTGACATAATGTACAAACACTTCAGCACTTCGATATACCCAGTAAACTTGGCACCGTAATTATAACAAAGCATTATTGCGACTTTTTAAAATTGTTTTTATTCGCTTAATTATACATAGGTAAGGCCATAAAACTCAATAAGCAAACCCCTATAAGAACGCATTAAATTTTTGGAGATTAATGTATAAAGACATTTTATTGCAACGAAATAAGAATTGCCTCAAAATATTATATCTACCTTTACTGTGTATGTTGTATACTTACAGTGCACGTTCAACCTCCACTTATCCTCGATTGCTGAATCTGGTATGTGTTTGTTCTCTGCGCGGCATGTCAAATATTTACCGTCGTCTTCCATGCTAGGTACGAGGGTAAGCACACTAAGTGTTTCGTTGTTTTCAGAGAACTGCAATATTTAATGATGTAGATACTTTTATAATTTTTGGTACTAAGTAAAATAAAAGCAAAAAGGTAAAATTTCTATAAAAATGTAATTGGAATTTAATGTTTAAAAATAATTACAAGCAAGAAAGGCTGTAAATAAAACAGTAGTTGTTTCAAGTAGGTGCAAATTAAAAATTAAAAGAGTATAAACAATGAAATAAGTTACAGCATTTAAAATGAAATTGTATTTTTAAATATCGCATTTCAAAACAAAGACATCAAAACAAAGTTTCCATTGAAATCACCACGATAAAGAAACAAAGCGATAAGAAAACAAAAACAAGAAGCAACATTGTGGAGAAGCCGCAGACCTAATACAATTCGCAAAAACATTACAAAAAAATTGAGGGACACAAGTCATTATGCAGGGGCAGTGGAGGAGTAAAAAGGAATCTATTAATTAAGACACAATGGAAAAGTCTAGATAGACAAAGGACTGAGTGGCTCACGTTTTTCGCCATTCGCTTGAGTTGTCTATTATTCTTCCACCAAGTGACGGACGCCTCTGGGCGGGAGCCTGACGTCTTACATTCTACTTCGTATTTTTTATCCGCAGACACTTGCTTTTCTTTTGTTAATATTGTCACAGTTATCGGCTTCACTGGAATATAATACGTTTATTATTTTGTTTTGTTCATGTCACAGACGATTACATTTATTTTTATGATTTGGTATATAAATACATTACATTGTACAAGTTTGACTATATTTTTAAATTATTATAAAACTAATAAGGTATATCATCATGATCTTGATCATTACAGTCCTTCCCAAATCCACTGCTGAACACAGGCCTCCCCCAAGGAATGACAAAAACTATGGTCTTGATCCATTGATTTCCCGCATGTTTTACCAGACCATCGCTCTATCTAGTGGGGGCTACCCTATACTTCGCCTACCAGTATGAGGCTGCCACTCTTATTTAGAATAAATATTGTGAAACTAGTAAAAGTTTTTACCCAAATCACAAAATTAAGCTGGATTTTCACGAAGTGACAACAGTTGCAGGTATAAAATATATAGATTATTTTTGTCTAATTTATACCTATATAATAATATATTAATTGAAGCGTCCGTTAGTGATCACTAGTTTCAAATCGATTTGATCGGTTGGGATCATATTCACACAATATAATTGTTTTGTAGAGAAAATGGATTTCAGCTACACTACGATATAATAGATATCAGTGTAGTCAAGTTTTTAGCAAATTCTAAATTTTAGGATCATAATGATTTTATTAATAATATTTTCTTTATATGATGATATAATAGATAATTTAGCGGATTAATAACTTAGCGGTCAGTCGCCGTAGAGTCTACATTACCTGAGAATGCCTCGTGTACAGGCGAAACACGTGTCGTATTGTCGTCGATGGTGTGTCTTACCTGGAATAGTGGTGTTGGAAGTAGTGGTGCCGGGAATAGTGGTGCTGGGACTAGTGGTGACGGAGTTAGTGCATACATTGAGGGAGGGCGGGAGGTGCTCTTCAATCCAGGTAAGACACATCATCGTAATTAGTAAGCGGAAGGTTGCAAAGTAATAAATTAAATCATTTAATATAATGGATTTCCATAAATTAACGCCTGATCTTATCAATTATGATGATATAAAGAAAATCATAAAGTCTCTACCCGGCGGTTGGCACTTTAGCTTATTTATAAATAAATTTTATATTTCTCTGTCTGAAATTAAACTCTTCGCACCACCTAAGGAAAGAGCCAAACAACGTCTGCCGGTTTACCTAGAATTTTATAAAACCTTTATACATAAGCAATCCTGCTTCGCATCCCGCACGGAAGAAGAATTTGTATAGTCTACTAATACTTGTTCACGTACATGTTTGTCCTTGTGAAGTTTAGTAAGTAAACTGCAACCACAATAAAGGAGAAAAGAAAGTTTTTCGAATAAAAAAACGATTCTTTTGTAACACGTCGGTTGCCATGACACTAATGCTTTGTAGTTTATTACAATTAACAGGCTTTTAATGGGTCTAGGTTAAATTTATAAATACTAATTATGTGCATGATGTAGTGTAGGTTTTATAATTGCTTCCGTTATATTATTATTACGTTAATATTTTGACGTTGAAAACTAAATATGTTCATATTATGCTACTATAGTAACAGCTTTGTACGTTGTAATTATGATTCATATTTTAAAACAAAGGTTGTTACAAACTACTTATGTTTATCTTGTATTGTTCAATCAGATAACTACAATAGTTAATTGATATAATATAAAATCTTTACTTGTGTATGGCGATAAAAGTGTATACATGTCTACATATACGTTATTATATAATACATACCAAACATGTTTATGTATGTAGGTATTTATATTATCCATTCATTTTTATTTATATACCGATTCATATCTATTATTGGAACTATTTTATAGTAAATAATCAGAATATTCTTCGTATATATATATATATATATATATATATATATATATATATATATATATATATATATATATATATATATATATATATAATATGGTTTCATTATTATTACCTTAGCATTGTCTGGGGGAGCAAGACGATTGTCAAAGACCCAGCTACAATGATGTTCGTGTTAATAATTTAACCACATACAATTTGCAAATAAACATTTATTTTAATTTTTAATTAAATTAATTTTTTAGTGGTCGAGTTTTCTGAAAAAAAAATATATTTAAACATTTATAGTATGCCAAAAAATATAGATACGAACAAAAAAAATGAGCAAAAAGAAATGTGATATAATGGGCTGTCTTATTCTTAAGATCGTTTACTTCCATATAACCTTTGGATGGACATGATTGCAAAACAATAAAACGTGTGTTGAATTGTTGGCAGGCGAGAACGAATAATATATATATCGTCTTGCTCCCCCAGACAATGCTAAGGTAATAAAAATGAAACCACATACAATTTGCATATTAATTTATTTTTAATTAAAATGTTTAATTTTCTTAATGGTGGAGTTTTCTGAATAAAAGTTATTAACAGGGTTTTTGTTACATGTTGTATAAAAGGACTTAGTCTTCCCATGACCATGGGATTAAATCCGTAAAAGATATATAATGTGTAATCTTCGTGTAAATACCTGAAATATACTATGTATATGTAAAATAACACAAATAAAACATCAGAACACTTACAATTTATATCCAGGATTAGTACTTTAGTTTCCGGCGGCGCTAGATTAGTATTCGAGGCTTGACAGACGAGTCGCGCATTCAAATGTTGTCGTCCGACGTTAGGAAACGTAAGTGTATTGACTGTGACTCCGTCGGAGCGTTGCTCATACGAATCGTCTATCACAACGTTTTCTAGGTACCATGTCACTCTTGGTCTTGGTACACCTGCAAAGAATATTTCTTGTTAGATTTATAGTAAAAGAATTGATTGTATATGGTTCGGACGATCTTCAATATATTTTAACAATTCAACACGTATTACATGGTTGAGCTTAAAAAAATTATATTTCCTATGTCGTGCCTCTTTATCGACATATTAGGCTTTGTTACGTTGAATTCATGCTGCAGTTATACGATGGTTGTAGCAGGGATGGGTCGGCTCGACGATAATGATGACTCGACAATATTGCAATTTCAATGTATGGTAACCGCGGTTAACTATGATATCTAGACGTTGAACATCTCAGTCTTCCCCGTGAGTAGTATTTTAAAAAGTTAAATGTAGGCGGTAAAATCCGTAAAAGCTAGTATTATTTAAATGTGTAGTGTTCGCGTAAATATAAGAAATCATTATGACAACCAAGCTCTCACAGAATACCAGCGTCAAATAAGCGTCATGCTACTCTATTTCGTATGGTCAATGTAAAGTATCGAAGACCCTTTTTACTGGAAACGAGACATTCCATCTTAGTTCTCAGTGGTGAGACGCATCTGCATTTTGATTCTGATTCGACGATAAATATAGATGTTTATGGACTAATGCATGTGTGCTGGTTTGTCATCCTTATTCTATAGAAAAATACGAGCAGCACGGGTTCGATCCCCACTGGTTCTTTCATTGGAATCGTTAATTGTAATGTTAAGTGCTGGTTTATCATCTACGCTGCGGTGGTAAAAAAACTTCGTCAGGAAACATACATGTGTGAGGAATAAAAATATTCACCGTTAGACCCTATTAAAATCAATTGCTATAACTTGGGCCTCCCTCTAAGATTGCCTCACAGGGGAGATATTTGCCATAGTTACAACCCTTGAAAAGCGCGTAGTCAACTACATTTTTTATTTTTAATTATTATTAGGCAGACGTGGCTGCCAGTCTTCTGATTTGTTTCCGCCTGTATTCCTTACGGCACCCACGAGAAGATATGGGTTAGTGGATATTCCTAATCAGCTTATAAAATATTTAGAAGATACGAGTAATATTACGTAATGTTCTCCAACACGCCACGCAGTTGAGTAATTGCTCCATAATTCTCTCAGAAATGAGAGAAGGCCTGTGCTTAGCTTGGGTTGTTTATATAGGCTGTAACTATAACTTAACTAACTTTTGTTGCTATTTATGTTAACTGAAAATGTTATGTCCACCTTAGTTTAGGGATAAATTTTATTGTGTACTGGCAACTTTCACCTGGTAGAATTTATTAATATGCCTTCATTATATTTTTTAAAATTATCATTAATGACCATTTATTTTGTCGGTTTTTCCATATCCCAAAAAAATATTACTCTCTAACTTTTCGTGAAGTTTCATAAAGAGAATAAAATAATTTTCACATAATAGCCTCTGAAGTCGGTGGTTGTGTATAAAATAAATTAAAACCCGTTTATTACTTTTTTTGCGTTAAATACCTACAAAAATATACAGACGAAAAAGAAATTATTCCTTGGTTAGAGTGGGCTAAAAAACAGTAAAAATTTAAATGAATTTATTGTTCCATTCAACATGCCACTTATAGTACAACACTTGAAGTTATATAGACGAAAGCAGGAGATCCGAAATTATGCCTTTGGTCCCTTGTGATGGAGGTAAAGCCTTAGTGTTGGATACTACGTGCGTAGACATTTTATAGCTACGGTTAGACCAGGGGAGGCATCAGAGGCGACTGAACTAAGTAGCGCAAGTCTCTCTGAGAGACTACATTTGTACCATTTGCTATAGAGATTATTGGTCCATGGATGGTCCACGTGCGGTATAAATCCTAAAGGACCTGTACCATGACTTTTCAAACGCACTGGTCAGAAAAGGGCTGGATTTTTTTTCACTCAAATGCTAAGTGTAGCCATTAGGGAAACATAGCTAGCGTTCTTGGCACTATACTTCGAGTAGATTAGTAGTAGTAATACTAGTTAGTAGCTTTTAATAGTTACTAAATGATAATAAAAATTTTTAGTTTTATTTTTTTTAAAGATAATTAATATTGAGTATTTTAAAGTTATTTAAATAAACGACGATGGAATCTAAGGAATTTCCATTTTAAATAAAAGATTATACAAAGCTCTACGCAATCAAAACAATTGTGTAAAAGGTCTCTCAAAAAGTTTCAATCCCATGAATCTGGTAATATATTTTATTCGAATTTAGTACTTTATCAAATTTTATAGAGTTTATTCAGGCAGCGTGTAATTAAAATTGTTTACTTTATTTTTCCGTCTGAAATAAGTAACCTTTATACAAAGATTTCAATTAAAATGTATAGCGTTTTTATCTACTTTTAAAAGGAAGGATAATAAAACTCTATGTTTCTTTTTATCAAGTGAACGGGAATTGTGTTACGCAATATCTTCGTCTTTTTTGAACTGTTTTTAATATTTTTAATAGTTATATTACTTCAGGACTGACTGATTCGTTGGTCTAGTGGTCATAAACGCGATTGCTCATTATGAGATCCTAGGTTTGAATCCCTGGTCAGGTCAAAAATCAGTTACTTATTTGGTCTTTTATAAAAAAAGTCTCAGTAGCAACCGGGAGCACGTAAAGCTGTTGGTCCTGCACCTAATCTCTCTCGAATCGTGTTGGATGTCATTCCCATCGGACTTTGAGAGTGCACCTGAGCCTCACTCTTTATTCTCTCACTCTCAAACACACTTAGATACACTCGTACTCTATACTCCTGTCCTGCAGAGATGGCTAGTCTCCGTTGAGGCTGGTCGCAATGACCGTAATTCAGTCTTTAGGTCATTGTTGTTACACTTCAGAAGTGGGCCCATATGAATTTGGAGAAAAAATTCCACCCCCAGATTTGGTAAATAGGGGTAAAATTTTTTAATGTTACTATTAAGAGGATATCGATATTGTGTTATCATTTTGCATTTCTAAGGGTTTAAAATATTGTTTAATGAAATAGTAAAGACTGAAATCAAAGCACTTAACAGAAAGAAAATAATTTTACATACCAGAGTCGGGGTTATAATTCTACTATACGAGTACACTACGCTACTAGCAATGTGAAATTATTTTATGGCTATAAATAAATTTGATTTTATTATAAAGATATTATGAGTTACTTTACAACCATCTGCTAAATAAAATAAAATGATGTGTCTTCTCTAGTTTGAAGAGCACCTCCCGCCCTCCTCAATTGCGTGCACCAATCCCGTCAACACTAATTCCAGCACCACTACTCCCGACACCGCTATTCTAGGAAAGACACAGCATTGACGATAATTTAATTTAGCGGATGGTTGCAAAGTAACTATTAATATCTTAATTAATTTCCGCAAAGTAACGCCTGACTCTATCAATTATTTTATTTTATTCTTTAAATAATAACTTGCAAATTATCTTCTTCGTAATTATAACCGCTTTAAGGAATATTAACAATTGTTTTTAAATAATGCAAAAAAGAAACATTTTATTAAGTAAAGCACTTAATTAAATAACTGATATTTATCACTTGGTGGTTACAAACGTCTGCAACATTACACACACGGAGTCCCTCATTCCAAGAATACTAGGGCACTAAAGTGGAGGTGGAATCTGCGACATTCGTGTAAACGACTAAAGTACGAGTGTTTAAGCGAGGATTTTATACATATTATTCCGTAGAGATAATTGCCTCGTTTTACAATTGCCTGATTAAACAGGCCATCTTAATTTAATTTAATATTATAATGATACCGAAAACTTAATATTAAAGCAAAAACTTAATATTAAAGCACTTAATATTAAAGCAAAAATAATACCAAATTATATCTACGTTTCACATTAAAATATTGTGTTCATATTTTTCCTAGAAATAAAAAATAAATATTAATATAAGCGACAAATAGTTAAAAACTATCTTCCTAAATTAAGAAATAATTTGTTGTTCTGTATAATTTTGGGTACTTTTAATTACGTAAGTAAAACTGATAACCGTACTCCTGGTCCTCAAGATACAGGCTATGCCTAGTTTGGGGCCCGCCAGTACCATTTTTATATGTAATAAGAATTTATTTGTAATTAGTATTCAATTTAATATAATATAAGTTAAAATTAATTTAATATAACTCACTTTTTTCCCAATGTTCAGGTCTGTAGCTCTATTTCTAGGAATAAATGATTTTTATTTTATTATTTTTTATTTAATTGTTATAATGATCGCAAGGATATATAAAGTCAGCTATTTTGGCATTCTATAATATTATCACGTAGATCACGCAGTTAACTTTTAAGAAGTAAAAACCTTTAATATACATATTTAATAGCTCCTAACCTATGAAATTGTGTTTTATGAACTGGGCACTTTGGAATTTGATAGATGATTTTAAATTGAATAAAACCACTTACACGGATTTCGTCGGGTTTAATTAACTTATTTTTAATTGATGATTTCTTAAATTTACGCGAACACTACACATTGAATAGAACTAAATTTACGGATTCTATCGCGTTTATTTAACTGATTTTACTTATTTTGAATTCCCGACGTTTCGGGTGCTTTACAGCACCCATGGTCACGGGGGGTACTGAGATGTTTGACGTCCCAATGTCATTGTTACCCTTCAGTTTTTGAATATTAATTTTTGTCCAATTAACGCAAAACGAACTTACAGTATCTTGAAGTCTTGCAGTGGTATACTTGGGTTTGGGTTTAATTTAGTTAATTATAGGATCCCAAGCAGATGGCAGCACCCAACCATCTTCTCTATTGAAATTAGGATGTTTTTTTTAATTTCAATGGCCTCACGTATCATCCTTGGTAGGAATCGGTGTTCTTTTGCGAGGATTTGTGGTTTATCAAATCTGATGTAATGGTGGGGACGATCTTGAACATGTTCACAGACTGCAGACTTCCCGGAGCGTCGGTGCTTCACGTCAGCTATATGTTCTTTCACGCGGGTTTTTATGGATCTTTTTGTTTGACCTATGTAAAAGAGACCACATTCAAAATCTAACTTGTATA